CTATTCATTAGAAATTTCTGTTTGGCATGCATCATGAGAAGAGCAAAAAGTAGTCTTAATAGAAAGAGGCACATTTTAGATATATTAAGGCACAATGTCTGATGCATTTTGAAGAGCACTTTCATCTTTTGGTTCCATAATGGATTCCTTTGTGATCCTCCTCAAACGCTACAACACACTGCATCATTTCCAAAACAGACCACCATAAAACAAGAGCCCTTCTCTACAGCACAAGAGAAATTATATTTGCATTTTTTTGTGTAACACTGAATTGGGTAGAAGCAACAAGTGCTCGTGTATGTTGCTCTACACTATCATCATATTAAGTGGTGCCACTGATGGCGTTGCAATGCAAAATGCAATATGTCCATTAGGAATCGCAAGCTGACCTCTAAAAGATCAGAATGACAGTGATATATTACATAGTTTGCTCCGCTCATGCAGAAATTTAAGGGAACATAACAAATAGTGAGATAGCAAATTGGGTCATGTTGTGTCAGATCTGAATGACCTACTTCTTACGGCCTTTTTTCTGATATGGCCTGGAGAGAATGTTCTACTTTCAAAGTCGTGGCAAAAGTTCTAATCACCATCACTAAACAGCAAATACTAAAGTTTCTTCTTCGAAGTTCAGAGCAAACAAACCATCTGTAATGTAATCAGCAGTCTGGTATTGGTATTTTACAGTGTTTACAAATGCAAGAAAGAGAACGTCTAAGAAAACTATTGAAATAAAAAAAAATACTTGAACGTTCACAACATTATATTGTGTACAGTATTATATTGTCTATAGCCGTTGATAAATATTAAGGCAGCTGTATATTTTTGTGTTAAAATCCATTTTTACTGTGTGCAAATGTAAGACAAATACCTCAAATAATTGTTGCCAAAATAAATTAAAAAATGGCTTTTTACATTGCCATTATACTGATATAAAAATATTATTTAGAAATTATTTTTAAAATATTTAGAAAAAGACAACTAAATCAAATAATCATTCCCAAAATTAAATGATTATACATTGTGATAATACAAAAATATTATCCAGAAAATATTTATAAAAAGAACAAATTATGAAAAGAAAGAAAGAATGAAAGAAAGAAAGAAAGAAAAGAATGAAAGAAAAGAATACAATTAATATATTGATTTCTGATCAGAATGAAATTTTAAATTAGTGAATGTAAACATAATAATTAACCACGACAGCCCTAATACATAAAAAAAAAAAAAATATA